AATAATAATAATAGGTAAAGGAACAAAGAAAAGAATAGGTGGGGGATAGGAATCAGGGGGCAGGCACTGTTAAGGCAGCATCATTGTGATCAAAAAAACTGATTATGGAGTCCGATTCCCTGAGTTCAAATTCTACCTCCACCACTTACTCGCCATGTAGCCTTGTGTAAGTTATTGAATTTCCCTGAGTATCTTTTTTCTTTACCTATAAAATACAGATGCTAATAGTACTTAACCCATGAGGTGGTTGTGACATGAGGAGTTAGTACATGGACATGCTTAGAAAAGTACCTATCACAGAGTAAGTACTCAGAAAGGTTTAGCTATTACTCTATTGTTTAAAATTACAGTAACCATAATAAGGATAATTTGCATGTTGTCAGGAGAGCCTTGTTCTAGGGTGATAACGTGATGATTCCTTTACTTTCTAGTCCAGTCTCACTGGCAGAAGGGCATGCTTGTTGAGTCCTCTGCTTAAGTCCTTCTTTTCCCCAAGTCCTAGTGTGGGCAGCAGCCCCAAAATGAATGAAACAGCGTTCCCAGCTTCTGCATTCAGTGAAATTATTATAGCATAACTCTTTGAAATGTGGTAGAACTGCTTTAAGACATTCTTAGGTGTGAGAAATATAGGGGACCTGCATGATGTATAAGGGGTACCTAAGGAGTAGCCTGGAATGGTGTGGGGGGAGGCACGTATTGCTCAGAAACCAATGAGCTCTTTCCATTACTTCTGTTGTATCAGAAGAGGAAGGCTCAGAGCCGTATTGCCTTATTCACGGGATGGAGGTGTATTAATTAGGATGCTGGTTCAACTGTTCTAACAAAATAACTTCAAAAAAGGGAAATGTTTGTGTCTCTCTCATGGAAGAGTCCAAGCTGGTAGGCAGAAGATCCCATGGAGTCTTGATGTCTAATTCAATTACATACATGCTGACTGGGTGGCCAGTTAAGTACCACTGATAGCTCCATGTGTTATATGTGCTTCTTGAGGGCAAAGATTGTACCTTATGCAGGCCTAGTAAGTAGTCCATAAGGGAATGAATGAATCAAATGAAATGAATTAATGAATATGCTGAGCATTCAGGGGATTCAAAGATGATAAAAGCAATTTCACTACCCTCAAGACTGGACAGGGAAGGCTTCAACTCTGTGCATGACATACTCTCTGTGAGGAAACAGTGTCTGCAGGGGTCACTGAGATCACAGGCCTCCATCTGGGGTGCCCACATAGAATCCAGCCAGCACCTGCCTCTCCACTATAGACCCAGGTTACAGATGACTAACACTGACGGGAATGCCCTCCAGGTGAATGGCCCAGCAGCCAACATGTCCTCACCAACCTGACAAGACTGGTCTAATTGGTGGCTAGTGTGCTAAGTGGCTACACCACAGTGCAGCTGGTGGCGCTAGACCAGTGCTGTTTGTGAGAACCACCTGTTCAGACCCCCACTAAAACCTGGGAGCTTGTTAGAAATATAGAATCTGGGGTCTTACTCCAGACCTGCCTGTGTTTTAAAAAGATCCTCAGGTGATTCATATGCCCATTGATACTGAGAAACACTAGAATAGACTCATTGAGGAAACTGGGTTTCAGATTCCTTTACCAACTCTGCCTTTGATTAGGTTCCCAGGGTAGGGAAGGGCACATCACTTCTCTGGGCCTTGGCACCCAGTTCCATAAACCAAGGAGGCTGAGTTAGATAATCTCTAGGAGCCCATCCACTCTCATTGCTCTGTGCATCTTGAAAAGGGGCAGAGGCAGGGCAGGGGCTAGGCCTCCTCCCCAAGCTGCTCCCACTACACCAACTGTCAGAGAAGGCCACCTTGCTTGTAGCATAACTCTCTTTCTAGGTCTCCCTTTCTTGTCCTCCTCCCCAAGCTGCTCCCACTAC